GACATCGTAAACGTTGGATGGCGACATCCTGCGATAACTTATCATGGTAAGACCGTAAGACGACATCGTAACGATTGGATGACAACATAGTTTAGCATGGGATGACGACATCATAAAGGGTAGACATCACACTTGCTGGATATCTCTGGATGACGACATCCTGAGATAATGATTATTGTCATCTGAGGATGTCTTCGTCCAACTTTTATGACATTGTCATCCCTTGATAAACTATCTCAGGATGTCGATATCTTATCTTTATGGTGTCGTCATCCCGAGAAAAACATGTCTAGATCTCAACAAGTCGGATGGCACTTCCAGAGCTCCGTATGTCCATAATGCATATCTGAGCTAAATAAGAGTCCCTGGGAATGCAAGGGAAGAGAGCGAGTAAAACTAGTGGCGCTAGAATCTCCCTATTAATTCGAGTGAAATGATGTTTGACTGGGATTCTGCCGAACTGTTATAGAAATGAGGAATCGCGTGAGATTGTATTGTCTGGTGAAGGAAACGTGCCACGCATTCAAAGTTTAACAAAGGAAGTGATTACGAATCCCCCTATATAAGAGCCCTCCCCACGCCATCTCCCCAGATTGGGGGGGGGGAACTCCGTAATGTGATGCTGATTAATAAAGTGAATGAATAAACGTACAGTTATTGGCGCAAATAGCCAGTGAGTTGCTGAAAGCGCCATTAAGACAACAACAACAACAACAACATCTCCCCAGTGTTTGAAGACAATTACACTGGCCCTCTGAAAATGGGGGTGGGCAAAACAGCCAAATCTGAGATATAAAAAAATGTATCAATCGGGAGGGTGTCACGTGATTCTTCATTTCGGTAACAGATCGGCAGAATCCCAATCAATCATCACTTCACTCGTTTAATTGGGAGATTCTATCTCGCAGTATGATTCAGATCACGTGATAGCCAGTGTAATGTGAAGGATACCTACACCGGAAACACATCAAGGCTTGATCAAAACTTTAATGAGAGTGGTATCAAATTAACAAAAGGCTAAGTCTGAATAATTTGGATCAATTCACAACCACTCTCAATAAACATAGCTAGTGGGTTCCTTTGCATTAAGTAACATTAGCCATCCGACTCCGTGCCGCTAAAGGCTTCACACGGAAACACGACCATTCCATAATTAGAATTAATACCCAAAAGGAGAAATTGTAAGACTGATCACTGCGCTTACAGCTTCAAAGTCAGCTAGTAAAAAACAGTCGAAGCCTAAGACGGAGCCGACGTTGGGTATTGGAAAACGGCCTATAAAGTACGTTCTAACTCAATGACATAATTAACCAAAAGACTAACATCTCATAAAAATTATGTGAGAATATCTAGGTAATTGTGGTCTCAGATTAAAGACCTCTTGCATAAACCGTGTGACAAGAGGGTGAGCCCCAAATTTGACACAAGAATCCGATGAAGACCATAATAACGAGGACAGCTCAGTCCTGGCTATGTTGATCGTGCTGTATTCTGCGTCATCATCAACCATTTATGCTAGGAAATCTCATGCAGAATTTAAAGAGGCGTGAATCGGATGAAGCGCCCGTTGAGCACAGAAGTGAAGCCATTTGGATATGGCTGAGTTATATTGTTTCTGCGTGCTTGGTTTCCAGGCTCGGAGGATGATACTAACAGTCCTATCTGGAAGCCCTCTTGCTTGGAGTGATCGCCTGATAAAACTGCTGCCGTCAAGACCAGTTGATTCTCCAATAGATGTTGGCGTTTGGGTGTGTGCGTGAGGTGGAGTAGACCCGGCACTCTTGGGATGATAATTGGGTGTGGCATCTGCAACAACATTATCGCCCCTAGGGATACGAGAGGCAAGCAGCCACGAATTATGTTGGAGGTACCAGGACCATAGTTGCTTGGTTCATGAATTAAGCGCAGGGGAATGACAACCCCCATATAATTAAAATAGGCTACAACACTAGTCTTGTCCCGAGGCATAATGAAATTAACGTTTTGCATCTGGCAAATTCTTTATCCACCAATGTAGCTCAGACTTGGCCTGAGAAGGCAAGGATATTTTGGCCTGAAAATGTCCGCCATTTCGATTAAATGCTTCATCTTTTGCTATTTACAAACATCTGTAAGACATAGGACCTAGTGGTACCGCTGGGAAGCTGGATACTAATCTGCCTATAACCTTGGCAACTGACAAAACAGTCGGGTTTGTCTGGTTAACTACATCACGACATGCATTAACAATACCAGTAACCTTGTTGGGAGGTACGCTCACCGTCATATCCACTGTGTTAATGACAAACCTCCCAAACTCCAATATTTGACATGGGGTTGGCTGTGATTTAGTTAGATTCACCAAAAAACCAAGTTCATTCATTACGGCATACCTGGATTTAAAGTTATTCACGCATTCTTCGATTGTGTCCCCAACTGAAAGGGAATCATCTGTATAATTAACAGAAATGTGGGCGTAACTACGTATAGAACAGCGATTGCTGGTTTCAAAACTTTCGTAAATATACATGGTGCACTGGACAACCCAAAACATAGACAGGTAAATTGCCACAATTTATCTCGCCACTGAAATCTCAGAAAATTTGGGTGTTCTTGGGCTATGGAAATAGCAAAATAAGCGTCTTTGAGGTCTACCGATGCAAGATAGCACTTTGGTCGGATAAGCGTCAGCGCAAACTCCAAAGTTTCCATCTTAAAATGGTGGTACCTAACACACTTGTTCAAGTGCTTCAAGTTAATTATGGGCCTCATCAAGCCATCCTTCTTAGGTGTCAGGAAAATATTGGAAACAAACTGGCCATGGCATGCACAACGAATTTATTTCTTTGTCTACGTTGCTTCAGAATCTGAAAACTGGATCTGGGTCGGGATAACATGCTGAATCGGTACTCTCTCAAATTCAATGTGACAATGTGCAACTGTGTCCAAAACCCATTTATCAGAGGTAATTTCAGACCAGGCTGAGATAAAATGTCTCAATCTTCCTTCTATATGGATATCAACGAGGTATGCATTTACTCACGAAGTGAGTTGCTTCCGTTCTGTCTTCTGCAGAATACGCAGAAGACAAAACTCGCATTTTGCTGTTGATAGAATGAAAGTGTCCCCTTCAGTAGGATCCCTGAAACTTGAATCCTAAAGACCGTGCTCTACACGTGACACTCCAGATCACATGCCTTTTAAGACCGAGTTGCTTCCAACATTCTAACTTGGGGTACATTCTTATTGATAACTTGAAAAACAAACCTGTCAAGAGAATCAAGCTCTTTCCACATTTAATAAAACATTGATAAAGCTACAAAGAGTTACATGTAAGTTACTTTGTGTTGATAGAGGACACAAATCAGATCAACATGACTCTTTTGTAATGATTCACCACATTTTTTTAATAAATGCTAAATTTAGTGAATATTCATTAATCACAATAGGAAATATGCATCATTACAAATGAATATTAATTTCAGTCCACCGTGAACAGGACAAGAAAAAGAAAGGAAACCTCAGAAAAACTCAATTATATTATTTGTCATTTTACAAATTTACTTTTGTTAATCCATTCCCAGGCAGTTATGAGTGCTTACAGCATAGCATGAATTTATCAGAAATGATACACCAAATCCAATTCAACTACTGAAGTTGCTCAAATATGGGGCATGACTACTTTATTAATGCAATTCACTTCAAAAGTGGTAATTATCCACAAGGCACACATGCATATTTTAAATCACTTTTCATTAGCTTCACTACACATGTATGCAATTGTTAAGCATTCCGACTTTGATACCATGCTACTGGCATTGTTAAGGGTGGCTAGCAAAGACATGTTCATATGTGTATTAGCTTCTAAAGGTACTGCAGGAGTGCATACTGTTTCAAGGGATAAGCAAAATGAAACATCTTGTACGTTATTATGACTACTGACCAATGATTCCACTCCACAGTCACAACCCACAAGAAATGCCTAAACCGGTAGGTCATGCAAGGACTTATTCAAGCAAGGATTAATTTTTCAGAATTATTGATTGTGTTATCTACAAGTAGTCGTCCTGTCATAAACATCCCGGATGCATCACCATTGCCGTCCGTCTGACATAACATCCCTCTGTTCTTGCTTTGTTACTCCAGTGTAGTGGCAAAGTGTCTTAACATCAGACAACTTTGTGGAGTTTAGATTTGGTTCCCAAAAATGAGATTTGAAAACAGCTGTTCAGTGGCTTGGAAAGCAAGACCAGCAAATTTCAGCGCCCTCTTGGGAATAATTTACTGATTGGAGGAGCTGAGCTCTTGCCATATACATGTAGCTGAGTGTTGCGGATACTGGCTGTCCAGCACACAAAGTAGATGTGTTAAGCCCCCATTAAGTCTACAGCAATGCAGAGATATTCTCAGCATTCATGGAACTTCACTTGGTAGCACGACAAACCAGTGTTGTATTACTCGTACTCGAGTACTACTCAAGTACCGTTTTCAGAGTACTCATACTTGTACTCAGTCTGCAAAATACAACAAATTGTACTCGAGCATCAAGGTACTCGTACTCGATTAACAGTACTTGGTTAAAAATCCTTTAACTTACCCCATCCATTAAAACACGACAAGAAAATCAACCTTCACAGACTGATGTTTGGTACCGCCCAAAAAACAGAAGGCCTAATACTAGCAGATGGAAGCATTTACATACAATGGCATAACATCTGTGAGCTTACTAGCCAATCGTGTACGCAAAACGCTGGGTCATTGGTTATTCTTAGTCTTGATTTCAAGACCTTCCTGTTTATTCCACAAAAAGAACCATCATCAGACGAATCGCTATCATGTGAAGCGGCAGGTATACCTGAAGTGGGTGGTCGCAGTGAATTACATTATACAACACACACTGCATTGACAGACTGAAGCACCACAAAAGGCATCTTGGACCCAAGACTAGGGTATTCCTAAAAATGATCTCTTGATAAACGCGGATGTTGTTAGTCTGATGCCTACACCTGAAAATTCTAATGACATATTTAGCATATAGAAAAACATGGGCATCGGAATGAGAGCCTGGAAAGTAGACTCCACCATACATGTGCGACGGTGAATGTATGTCATGTACAAGTGTACACTTCATG